ATATATATATATATATATATATATATATATATATATATATATATATATATATATCGTCAAATATATATAGATATATATCTGAGTAAGGATCCGGGCCGCCCGGCCGACCAGTGCCTGCCCGGGGGAGGACCTGGGCGGCCCGGTTGGGGGTCGCGCACCCCCAGCACACCTTGTTGGCGGGGGGTTTCCAACTCCGAATCGTCAAGATTTGGCCTCCCCAGGGCCTACCGGGTCCGACCACGCCCAGAAAACGGCGCGTACGGCCCATGAGGCCTGTTTTTTTTTTTGAATTTTTGACGGCCCTTCGTCCGTCGATCATCCATGATCGACGGCCAGAGGGCCGTTTGTTTTTTGGAGGGAAAACCAAGGCCCCGTTTGAACAATCGACTGGCTGGGTCGGCCTGCATCGGCTGTCCAAACAGGGCCCATTCTCCATCCGCCTGTGTTCGTCGTTGAGCCGCCCTCGCTCCTCGCGCTGCCCGTTGTCGCCATCGCCTGGGAGCTGCACTCGCCCGCCGTCGTGGAGTCGTCCGTTGCCCGTTGCCAGCGTCGTGGAGTCGCCCGTCGCCTGTCGCCAGCGTCGTGGAGTCGCCCGTCGCTCGTCCCCCTCTCATCTTCTTCTTCTTCTTCTTCTTCTTCTTCTTCTTCTTCTTCTTCTTCCTCTTCTTCTTCTCTCCTCCTCCTCCTCTTCTGACCATCTTCTTTGTCTTCTTTTTTTTTTGTTCCATTCGTCAGCGATAGGTCGCGAGATAAACGACAGGTAAGGAAAAAAAAAAAAAAAACTGCTCCGCTTGTCATTTTCTTCTTCTTCTTCTTCTTCTTCTTCTTCTTCTTCTTCTTCCTCTACTTCTTCTCTCCTCCTCCTCCTCTTCTGACTATCTTCTTTGTCTTCTTTTTTTTGTGTTCCATTCGTCAGCGATAGGTCGCGAGATAAATGAAAGGTAAGGAAAAAAAAAAAAAAACCCTGCTCCGCTTGTCATCTTCTTCTTCTTCTCTCCTCCTCCGCCTTCCCCTCATCTTCTTCTCCTTCCTCTTCTCTCCTCCTCCTCCTCTTCCGCCCATCTTCTTCTTCTTCTTCTTCTTCTCCTTCTTGTAGGACCACCGCTGCAGCCCGCCGCCATAGGGGAGTGAAAGAGAACACGAAACCGTAGGCCTATATATACTATATATACCGTGAGGGAAAGGTGAAAAGAACCCCCATAGGGGAGTGAAAGAGAACATGAAACTGTAGGCCTATATATATATATTGTCACACTGTGAATCAGAGCGCAGAAGCGAAAAAAAGGAAGAAGAAAAGAAGAGAAAAGAAAAAAGGGGGAGAAGAAGAGGTAAGGAAAGCTCCACGTGTTATATATATATATCGTCACAAACAGAACTGCCCGGTAAACCGTAGGCAGAGAGAGAGAAGAGGACAACAAACGAGGGGCTGTGACAAACTGTTTCGTCGGAGTTTCACCGACTCATCAGGTATATATATATTTGTGACGATATATATATCGTCACAAACAGAACTGCCCGGTAAACCGTAGGCAGAGAGAGAGAAGAGGACAACAAACGAGGGGCTGTGACAAACTGTTTTGTCGGAGTTTCACCGACTCATCATATTAGATACACACTATTACACAGATATTAGGGATTTGATACATGCACATCTATCTCCAAAAGTGAGAAGGATTGTAAACACTTAAAAGAGATTAAACTTCATTAAAGTTCATTAAACAAAAAACAAAAAGAGAGAAGGCTTACCTTATTCACAGGACCTACACAAATGTAGCGTGTGTTCACGTCCTCATAGTGCACATGCTCCATCACTTCATTCAATGCCACTTCTCGTAACATTTTCCCGGGCCATAGATTCAGAATCGGCTCTGCAAATCGATAGAGTGTCCACCATACAAGATCTTGCACGAAAGGATGAGGGTAGTAAAGGTCTTCCTGTGCATCAGAAAAATTCACACACAGACAAACAAAAGGACGTCTGAACCCTCTCTTCGCCGCTTCGGCACCCCGCACGTCACCAGCCGAAAACTATTGATGTATTCAGTTAGTACTGCAAGAGGCAGTGTCTTCCATAGCTACACTCGTCAGAGCATTCAAACACAAAAACGAAGAAGGAAAACAAAAAAGCCTTGGGACCTTGGACAACCGCATGAGGGTGATGCTCTGTGGCATTTCCTTGGGTTGGCTGCTCTGATGACAGAGACATAACAATAAGATGGAAATAATTAATAAAGAGCCCATTGGAACTGTTTGCAAGGAACCATTCTAACTAAAAGGAGATGCAAATGATCTCCCAATTCCACACTGCTTCTCACCCCAACAAATTCACAATTCAAGACAGAACGAGGCACGAAGCTTGAAGTGTGAATTCTCTGTAAATACCGTGTTTACTAACGAATTCACACTTCAACACACAAAGCTCCAAACATATCAACACGATACGAGAACAGAGTCTTCAGAATTTGCTTCAAAATTCTGAGTCCTTGTACAACAAAGTCTTATACATGCACACTCAGGTGGCTATGGCGGCCCGTAACCTCAAACAGCACTCTCTCTCTCTCTCTCTCTCTCTCTCTCTCTCTCTCTCTCTCTCTCTCTCTCTCTCTCTCTCTCTCTCTCT